AATGTTGTGGGCATTTTGGTTTATTATATATAAGCGTATTTTTCTTATCATCCCAAGAGGGGGATTTTAGTTTGTCTACAATTGTTGATCGTCTTGTGAAGGGCCCAGTCTTTGCCAGCTGGAATTAGTTGAATTCTGGGGACTTTGGGGGGGGTATAAATATGATAGCCCAGGTGCAGTGGTAGCTTGGAGGAGATGGAGGAGGACTTCTTGCTGCTCTTGCTGCCTTACTGGTTACCTGGACTTCTGGTTTTCCTGACAATGGATATTGGTATTGCCCCCCCCCAAAGAATCCTATGATCCTACTCAGCAGGGAAAAGTAAAAATGGCTATGTTCCCTTTCTCTTCCAACCTTCTTTTTCCCCTACCTGGAGTTGGAGGGTTTGGGGGTTGGAAAGGAGGTATAAGTTTTAAAGAACCCCCAAATAAAGTAGTGTTTGAAAAGCTAGTACCTACAGTAAAATGTGACAAAAGAATAAATGCAGACCCAAATCAGAAAAAAAAACTGGTTTCATTATGAAAATGAGTCAAAATAGAAATATAATTCCAAAATTAAAGAGTAAGTTCCTTTTACTGTATTTCTCAATCCTAGTCTCCAGAGGTAACTGCACTTACCATTCATTTTGTTTATTGTTCCTTAAGTTTTGGCTTCATTTATAAGTATGTAAATGAAGTATGAGGCATATGTGTGTATATTCCTCACGCATACAAACACACACATGTGAGACCACATTATTCATAATAGTCTGCTTTTAACTTTTCCAGTGTACAGTATAATTTGGCTACATGTCTCAAACTTGACTTGTCTCATCTCTTCTTTTTCTCCCCTTCCTTCCTTCTTTCCTTCCTTTCTTCCTTCCAATCCTTCTGCATATCCTTCTCAAGTGCTAGGGTTACAGGTGTCTACTGTCATACTCAGTTTAAGCACAGGGACTTTAAAAAAATGTTACCACCCACACCTCCATGTCTATAGGCAGAGAGAAAATCACCAGTTAGGCCTTCACATCCTTGTTTCCTTTAACTTATCTCTACCCTTCTTTCTTCATCAAATGGCACTCCACGCATGCTTATTCACAGGGATTGGCCTTGTCCTAGGAGCTACCTCTCTAGCAGCACATTTGCCTATATTCTAGTTATTCAACCTCATGCATTGTTCTGGGCCTTGCACCAGGGCATGTGAAGGTATGCTATGGCATTTTAAATGCATTCGACATCAGTAGGGTCACAAACAGACATGCCTTTTGTTTTTCCTGCTGCTTTAAAGGTAGCTGGTGGCTGAAACAGGTATACAACCATTAGAACTTCAGGGCTAAGTATGGATTTTGACAGACATTGCAGTGTAAATCTCTGTGGAGGATAAGGCTGAAGAGAGGGAACACAGTAGGAGAGGGAGTGCAGAGAGCTAAGAGGGGAGAGCAAGGGTGAGAGGACAGAAGTCCTGTAGAGAAAAGATAAACTGAGGGTAGGGGCATCTCTGTGACAAGCTGGAGGCCTAAGTCAGGGTAGGCTCCTGGGTGGATATGAAGGTTATTCAAGCAGAGACTCCTAGTAGCAGAGGTCATAAAGACTGGAGAGGACACCCATTAACTAGACAAGACTCCTAGCACAGGGAGGGGAACACCAACCCAGCCACAAAAACTTTGACCCAAAATTTACCCTGCCTATAAGAGCTGCAGGGACAAAGACAGAACAGATAGAGCAGAATACCAACCCTGACACTGTGAATGATGTTCTGCTAAGCCTACAGACAAGAGCCTGACAGAGCTCTCCTCTGAGAGGCTCTACCCAGCAGCGCCTTAAAACAGATGCCAAGACTCACACCCAAACATTGGATGATGTGTAGGGCATCTTGTGGAAAAGTTGGAGGAAAGATAAAAGGACCTGGAATTGACAGGAGCTCCACAAAAGACCAACAGAGCCAACTAACCAGGGCCCAGACCAGCTTGCTGAGACTGAAGCATCAACCAAAGACAATGCAGGAACTGGACATAGGCCCCCTACAAAGATGTAGCAGCTTAGGCCTCATGTGGATCCTCTAGTAAGGGAACTGGGGACTGCATCTGCCAGGGACTCTCTTGGCAGCTTATTGATCACTTTCCCCTGGCAGGACTGCTTTGCCAGGCTATAGGGGAAGAGGACATGCTCAGTCCTGATGCAACTTGATGAGCTGGGGTGGATGGAAAAGGGGGAAAAGGAGAGAGAGGGAGGGTGTGACTATGAGGGGAGGAGGGATGAAGCTACCACTAGGACATAAAGTGAACAAAAAAATTTTAAAAATATAAAAAAGAAACCTATTCCTGTCTTCCCCATCTCAGAGGGACAATACGCAATATGAATGCTCAGAGCGATGTTCCCTTTCCTTTATTTTCACATCTATTTTATAGGCATGAGAAATAGCCAATGGAATAACAATAGAGACTGAGATTTAGTGAAAACTTGCTATACAGAAGGCCATAGATGGATTTCAATTGAGCTGTAAAATTGTTCTAGAGCCTGTGGATTCTCCAGGATAATCACAAGCTTTTTTTGTAGTTCAAATTATAAGTTGTATAATCTTCTGTCTTCTAGGCAGATCCCTGCTGCCTTGACATCATAGCAGCCATGATTACCCACACGACATTCTCACAAGATTTGGCCTTCTAGGGCTGGAGAGATGGCTCAGAGGTTAAGAGCACTTGCTGCTTTTCTAGAGGTCCTGAGTTCAATTCCCAGAAACTACATGGTGGCCTACCACCATCTATATTGAGATCTGGTACCCTTTTCTGGTGGTCAGGCAGAACACTGCTAATTAATTAATCTAAAAAAAGACTTGGCCTTCTAATGTTTCTTTGTGGAGAGAATACGGCTCATGAGACAGCACATTAGTGATCCAAGAGGCAGCATACAAGTAGTGCATGAGGTAATGCATAAGGGATTCAGGAGCAGTTCATTCAGGAGGCTCCATGGCCTCATAAACACACAAAGCCCCTTGCTTCCATGAAAATATATAAGGAATTAACAATTGCTAGAGGGAAGGTAGATTTTTTTCAGCTATTTTTTTTTTTCGTCCTGTAAGTTCCCTAAGTTCCTGAAGCTTTACCATGACCTTGTAAGTAAACCTTAGTTAAAGTTATTAATTCAGCAGACTGGTTTTAGATGGAATAATTTCTTAGGTGTGTCATTGGTGCCCACTAATTTGTGAATACACATTTGCTCAGTTAATGCAACATGGAGTTAGATTTGAAAATGAATCATTTGACTTAGAGGCCCAAGCTCCCAGTTCTTTAGGGTCCCCTTAAAGGCAGATACATATTTACACAAAGAGCTGGCTGTGGAGTGACCATGGTTTCTGTTTAAATTGTGGAATGGGGCCCTTCCTTCTCACAGTTCTGTCAGCAGAAAAGAGGCACTGTAAATGTTTGTGCTCTTCTAGTGTAAGCAAAGCCCCAGGGATCCATCCTGATGCACACTCTTCTAAAGTGGTCTGTATGTAAACCAATGAAAGACTTCGGGGCTTTATTGTTTGCTTTCATTTTAGAATTTGTCGTCTCCCTAGCTTTGAGCAGAGGACCTGTGTGTGGGAGCAAACCCACCTTATCTCTGTGAAAGGCCTAAGCCATCTGTGGATTAGTTCCCAACCCACCTCTAGTCTTTGAAGAAAACTTGAAGGTTAGGGAAAATGGAAATACAAATTTTTAGATCCACCCCCCTCCTGTCCCGTGTGTGTGTGTGTGTGTGTGTGTGTGTGTGTGAGAGAGAGAGAGAGAGAGAGAGAGAGATAGAGAGAGAAGAAGAAGAAG